CGCCGCGGCCTGCAACGTCATCGTGAACGACACCCCGCCGCCGCCGAGGGGGCCAAGAGCGCCGAGCCGCTCCGGAGCAGCCCCCGCCCCCCCTGCCCGCGCCCCCCAAGAAGCTGCTGTCCCCCGAGGAGCCCGCGGTGAGCGAGCTGGAGTCCGTCAAGGAGAACAACTGTGCTTCCAACTGCCACTGGACGGAGAGGCCGTCAAAAAAGCTCATCGGAGAGGAGGCCCTGGCGGGGGGCGACAAGTCAGACCCGAACCTTAACAACCCCGCGGACGAGGACCACGCGTACGCTCTGCGGATGCTGCCCCAAGACGGGCTGCGTGATCCAGCCTGTGCCAAAACCCGCGGAGAAGACGGCCATGGCGCCCTGCATCATCTCCTCGCCCCTGCTCGGCGCCGGGCCCGAGGACCTGGAGCCTCCGCTCAAAAGGAGGTGCCTCCGAATTAGAAATCAGAATAAGTAAAAGGTTTGTATGTGCACCAGGCACTCCTCCGCCCGAGCCAGGGCACCTCTCCTTATTTCTTACAAGGCAGAGGCCAGAGTGTTGAGTCGGTAATCGTGATTTTACCTGACATGTTTTACAATACAGCGTGTGTCGTCACTCACTGTCATTTTGCTCCACCATCATGCCCATTTTGCAGCTGACGAAACTGAGTCACAGCATGTAAGTGCCATGCCTCAGGCCACTTACTTAATGGTAAAGCCCAGTCTTGAACCTAACGAAACGCTATCCCCTTAATTACACCTTTGTTATTATGCTCTGTAATTCACCGTATTGAAAAGGGAGGACGTGGGGACGAAGGGGAGATTTCTTGGGGCAGGTAAATGTTCAGTCATGGGTTTGGCAGGGCTGTGATAAAAGGTAAGCTGGGCCACTTCCTGGAGCTGGTATACACATGGGCGGAATGTCCCAACTCACCACATTTTCTCAATAACCGTGGTCTTCCGTTTGCAAGATGGGAATAAAAACTACCTTTCTTACATGCTTATGTCAGCGGAACCCAAGCCCTAAGTCCCCTTTGCCTGGCAGGGTGTCGGAGCAGTGGCTCATAGCTCCTGTTCATGGGATCTCTTCCTTTGTTGGTCACCAACCACCATTCCCTAGGGCAGGTGTCAAGCATCACTGACCAGCTTTGCTTTTTCCTGATTTGGGGCTCAGCAGCTCAGCTGGTGGGTTGCTCAGCTCTGCAGACAGTGGGAGGCTCTGACAGAGAAAAGGGCCACCTTGCTGAAGTGGAGGAGAGTGCATGCCTCTGACCTGGGGGGGGGGAGGTCCTGCTGAAGCCAAGTGAGCCTTTGATAAGGAGTCCAGAATCTCAGGAAGGGGAGGGGGAACTCACATGGGTGGGATGCCTCCAAGTAGCCAGAGGTGGCCTGCTTTGATCCCCGTGCCCATCCTGGTGGAACAGCATCATTGCTCTTACCAAGGAGGAAGATGAGGCTTGGAGGTGCCACCCAAATCAGAGCTCGTGAGGAGGAGAACCAGTATTTAACTCAGATCTGACAAACCCAGAGCCGGAGCTCTCCCACACTTTCCAAAAGGGCAGGAAACAGGCTGGTATTCAGTTGAGGCTTATTAACTGTTTATGGAGAGAAAAGGAAGAGAAATGAACATTCATTGAGCACCAAACCTGTGCAGAGCTCCTTCCAGGAACTGGGGAGATACGGTGACTATGATGCAGTGCCTGCCCTGGAGGCATTTACAGTGGGTGGGAATGAAAGCCCAGGAAGGGGGAGGCCTGGGGAGGGGAAGTGGTGTGCACAGGAAGAGCAATCGCTCACGTTCGTTGTGTACAGGCCGTCTTCTCGGTGCTTTTTAATAGTATTTATTCAGATCCAAGCCATACAAGTATTATTGTCTTCATTTTACTGATGAAGAAACTGAGACAGAAATTAAGTAACTTGTCCAAGATCATCAACTTAGTAAGCAGAGTTGATATTCAAACCCAGCCTGACTCCAGAGCTACATTTTCTTTAAACCATCAAAAGAGAATAGGCTAGTTGGTCCCTTTATTACAGTGCTTGATACAATTCTTTTATCCACCATAGTGGTCTGCGGGGAAAGTTCCTATAGAAAAACCAAGCCTACCTACCAACTTCTCTCAGTGTGTGGACAGGGTTCAGTCTTTTCTTTTTTTATTTGACAGTCAGTGTCCAATTCCTGTTTTCATAACAACAAACCTAGAATGACAACCCATCAGTCCACAGCAGGCTATGTAGGTGTGGACCAGAGCACTCGATGTGGCGTGTCCAGACCATTGCCCCTAGGTCCAGCGTCTTTACACGAGCACACGTGTAACTTAGAGCCAGAGTTCGCCTGGGAGGCACGGAGCCAGAGCCAGGGGCTTGCTGGGTGGTGCAAGAAGGGATTCTCAGCCATCATAGTTTGAGGTTTCCTTTTCTGTGGATGGCTTTGCCAGTAGGAGCAGAACACTTAAAATCAATTCGCCGTTTCTTCTCGATTCTCCATCTACAAGTTCTGCTGTCTGAAGACAGATGGCCTCAGCCTTCTTAGAGTCGCCTCTATTGAAAATGCCCCAGATTTCTCCACCAGAGTCATTTCATCTGGTTGACAAAGCAGTGAGTAATGGGGAGATGTGGGACCAAAAAAAAAGTGACGGCCTTCAGAAAGCCTGGAAGCGCTGGAATTGTCAGTTTAAACACATTCTAATATCGTTCATTCAAGTGCCATAAAAGGAAAAACGGGAAGGTGAAAGATTTTACTACCATTACTGGAGTGAGAAGTGACCAGGTCAAGAATAGTGCCTCTGGTCCATAAGTAGCCTAAGTGCCTCTGGCCAAAAGCACATAAAAGCATGAAATATATGATGGCTATTTGGATGATAGATGTTTCCGAATAAAGAAATAGGTGAGGGTCTTGCGTGTGGACCAGAGTCGTTACTAAAAATAGTAACCTGGCTTTAGCCAATTTCAGAAGATGCCGTGATGAAATTACCCCACAGCCCCTTGAGATTAGTTCTTTTTATGATGGGCCCCCCAAGAAATTACAGCTTTTCTCTAAAGTCTGAGACTCTCCGGCTTTGCCAGCTACAGCTGGTGACAAGGCACGTGATTTAAGATGGGGGAAGCGCCGCCTCTCCTCCACTAAATCACATTTTCTCTTGCCCTCTGTCGTGCCGAGTCACCTCGCAGCACAGTCTCAACCTGCCGTAATTCATCACGCCCTCGGCCCCTTCGGAAACCCAGCCCGTCCGTATGGTTGTAGAAATTGGAAATGCATCTGTTAAATAAAGGATTGCGTGGCTTTTGTGCCGTGATAGTGAACACTGTTTGGTGATGACTCAGAGCCAAAGTGGAAAGCATTAAAAACCAAAAACAAACCTGGGCTGGGTTTGGTGGGTGAGGTGCAGGTGAGTGGTTTTTTCACCTGCTTGTTGGTGACTCATTATAGTATTTCTCATAGGTAAGTCAGTCAGTAGCTTCAATCAGTGTTCTTCATTCTTTTCACTATACCACCACCTTCATATTGTATTACTTCCCCCGCCCCCCATTTTAGATAGAGTCAAAGCAGATTGTATCTTGAAATGAATAATCCAGGTAGCCACAGTTGTCTTCAAGGAGGTAATCATATGTGCTAGTTCTTGTCAAATTATAGTGTATTTTTTCCCATTTTGAAGTTATCCTGTTCCTGGTTACCTGACTCTATGCCTTCTTGTTTGTTGGTATGATTACATATTATCTTAATGGGCAGATTTTTTCCCAGATGCAGAACTAATGAAGTTTAGTTGAAGATTTTAAAAGGTTGTAAACTTTATTTAATCTTCAACTTTTAAGACTCCAAATACTAGTTCTGCAGCTTCTGTAAGCTGGAAAAAATATCCCCCCCCAAATAATAAGGAAAACAATGTATAAACATTTCCCAAACTATTCTATCCACAAAGAATTCCATTTATAAATGGAATACACCCTTCTGTGTCTTTGCCTTAGAGCTTGGGGATAACTGTTTGTATTTGCACATTTTCTGAATTTCTGCAGTTTACACTTGTTTATGGTACATTGGGGAGTTTAGAGTAACCATTTGCAAATGTTTGAAGATATTCAAAAGAAAATATCCCCCCTCCTCGATTTTCCAGGGAAATGACATAGTCTCTTTAAGTAAAGTAATCAATGGAAAAAATGTGTACTGTGAATAACCCTTTCACCCTCACTTTTTCCATTCCTGAGGAGCAGCAAGTCCATACCATTTCCCACTTTTGTGGCTCCTAGTTTTCTTATGTCTTCCTAAAGCCAGAAAGAAAATCTGAGACTATCTTCCTCGGCCCAGTTCCTGGTGCACCCCTCCCCCGCCCCCGCCCCCCCGCCCCCCCGCGCACACACACACCTCAGCAGCAGGGCTCCCCTCCACTTTAGTCTTCCTTAGGAGCTGGAGGAGGCAGCTGTTGTTTTTCGCCTCTTGGATTTTAGAGTTTAATTATTCATCTGGTCATTGAGCCACAATCCTAGAAAGGGCTATTTCAGGAGGGGACCAGGGGGCCCGCCTCATCAGGAAAGCCAAAAAGGTAGAGGTGACATGTAACTCTTGCCAATTTAGTTTCTCCAGCTGAAAAGTTTGCGAGAGTAGTAGGCTTCCTGGGAAGTCAAGTTCATACTTTTGAAATACTACTATGGGTGCCTACTTTTAAAGCAAGAAGAAGAAGAAAAACAGAGTGAGGAGAGAAAAGCAGTGCCAATGGGATGTGCGAATCCTATGCCAGGCTTGAGATTTTCAGTGCTTCAGTAGCTGATTGTTGGAAATGTTAATTACTGACATGAACCTTAGTGTTAAAGTTCCGGCACCTGTCAGGATGCAGGTGCTGCCCACCTCTGGGTGTAGGTCATTCAGAGCCAGGTCTGCAGCGTGCACACACGAGTGGCGAGGACCTGGAGAGTGCTTGCTGTGGTCACTTCAGGCTCAGAGAGGAGAGATTTCTGGAATAAGCAGTGTCAAGATGGGCCATAGACACATCTTGTTCAATGCTGCTGGGTCCCCTTATGAGGAGGGATTGAAGGAGGGCTTGTAAAGTGCAAGTATCTGGCTTTTGGCTATTAACCCAATTCGATTTTGATGGAGTAGGAAATGACATAAGTGACCGGGTATTTATTTCTTTCAGATGTAGCCATACCCCTCCATCTTCAGTGGGCTTGGGCCTGAGGTAAGGGAAGGAGGTGGTTAGTGCACAAACTTTAAAGAGGACCTCACTCCCAGGGTCGTGCAAGGGCAGCGCTAGTCCTGGCCCTGATCTCCAGACTTCTGACCCATGTGGCCGCTCCCTGAAGCTGGTCGGTCTCCTGGCTCCGTGGACTAGTCTGTGGGTGGCCTTTAGCAGTTCCTTGTAGATTTATGTAGAATGTTTTATGTGCCTGGGCACAGAGGCATTTTCTTGGGAGGAGAGGTCCATAGAGTTTGACTTAAGTATGAAAGAGTATGCCTTACACCTCTGAAGGATTATCTTCGATTGCCACCAAGCAATATCGGAATTGGAGTTTTTCTTGTTACTATAAGGAAGCTGAATTAATTGTAAGTTCTCTTTAAGACTTAGAATTCATTTTTAGCAATTTTTGTTGTGGACCTAATATTGCAGAATCACTGAGGAGG